ATGCTCTCTCCAGAAAGACAGAGAGAGACAGAGAGACAGAAAGTGAGAAATCACCCCCCAGGAGGGATGGCCATGCCACAATCCCTTCTCCTCCATTCTCCTCTCGGGATCTTGGGCACGCACGCACATGCGCCCGGCGTGAGTTTTAAGCCACCGGGTCCGGGACGCGAACCGCGGTCAACTACGTGGGAGTCCAGTGACATAGCCATTACACTAACTGCTGGTCCCTGGCCACCACATTTTGAGAGCATACTAAAAGAAGAGCAAGTTCTTCATGCTTCTGTTTCAAGAGTTCAAAGTCTACACAGAACCAAAGTGATCTAAGCACAAAGAAAATAAGAGTTCATTTTATAGTATTCTCTGGATGTCTAATGCCAGTTATAGGATAACTCTTTGAAGAGGAGCAGAAAAAAAAAGGAAAGAAAATGAGCTTCACTTCTCATGGTACAAATCAATGGAGATGAGTACAATGGAGGGTTTTCCTCAAACCAGCCTTCCTCTAAGCTGCCACCCTGGTCCCATGTGGCCAAGTTGCTAATAGGCTGAGCTGACTATGAATGTGTTTTCGGCGTATATCAGAGAGCAATAGCCACTTCTTAGCTGAACTTAGCAGTAGATTCATAGCCATATAAAACACTTAAAGTTCAAAGGATTTCTCGGAAGTCACACTGATGCCACTAAACAAAATGAACAACGTACCTTGGTTGCTCAGATCCAGCTCTGTCAAGAACCTGGGAAGTATAAAAATCCCTTCCCACCTTCACCTAAACTAATAAAATTTCAGATCACTCAGGCTAACCTAAAAGTAACTGAGACAACACCAAATTACTTGGGGGCTGAAACCCTGATCATGAAGGTTGTTCAGGGGTTGTTGCACATGTATGTGTGAAAAGCCTTTGAGTCATACACAAATCATAATCCATACACAGCATTGTTATTTTATAACCAACAAAGGAATCCTTTTCAAAATTGCTTGGGGATTTTTAGCACTGAAAGATTGCAGATCTAAGAGCAATATCATGATTACTTTTTTCTACAAATAATATTGCTGGTTGATATCATCAACTAATACCAACAGCATAAAGAACACCAGCACAAACCCGATAGCATGAGACATAAGCCCAGGCTGCTATATGTACCTCTAATGAGTCTAGCCATGTCAAGAAAATTCTTTCTGGGACCAGCAGATGGTGTAGCAGTTACATCACTGGACTCCCACATGGTTGACCACAGTTCAAGTTCCAGACCCAGTGGTTTGATAATCACTCCAGACATATGTGCGTGCATGTTCAAGATCCCAGGAGGAGAATGGAGGAGAAGGGATGGTGGCATGGCCATCTCTCGGAGGGGATGATTTCTTACTTTCCCTCTCATGGTGTAGTCTCTCTCTCTTTCTTTCTCCAGTGAGCACTCATGCTCTAAAACAAAAACTTCTAAAAGAAGAAGAAGAAAAGAAGAAGATTATTTCTGAACAAGGAAAAAGGCAGGAATGATAGCAACCATAGTAACAGAAGCTGGCTATAATAAATGTTGTTGAGGGACCAGCAGTTAGTGTAATGGCTATGTCGCTGGACTCCCACGTAGTCGACCCCGGTTCAAGTCCCGGACCCAGTGGCTTAAACTCATGCCGGGCATGTGTGCATGCGTGCCCAAGATCCCGAGAGGAAAATGGAGGAGAAGGGATTGCGATGTGGCCATCCCCCCTGGGGGGTGATTTCTCGCTTTCTGTCTCTCTCTCTCTGTCTGTTTGGCGAGCACACGCGCCCTACAGCAAAAACCTCTCCAGAGAAAAAGAAGAAAAAAAAACTCACGCTGGGCGCATGTGCACATGTGCCCAAGATCCCAAGAGGAGAATAGAGGAGAAGAGATTGAGGCATAGCCATCCCCCCTGGGGGGTGATTTCTCGTTTTCTGTCTCTCTGTCTCTCTCTCTCTCTTTGTCTGTCTGTCTGGCAAGCGCACGCGCCCTATAGCAAAAACCTCTCAATAAATAAATAAATAAATAAATAAATAAAAATAAATATTGTTGAGAAAATGTGTGCAATATTGACAGTAATTGTGATTGAAGAGTGGGGCTATGGTTTTCTGTCCACAGACTTACAGGTGCTTTCTGAGTGCTACCTGAACTCCAGAGCCCTGTGAATGGCTGAATATCACTGCAAATTCAAACATTAGCAGCATAGTTTTGATGGAAACATCTGACTTCAGTACATTTCCATAGTCTATGTATTCATTGCCCATCCACTTCTACTGGCATAGCTGTTTCCGTACACAGCATTGTAATACAAAGACATTCTTATGACATGTTAAGTCAACCAAAAAGGCAACCTGCATATACACAAAGCTCATGCTTTGTATAACTCACATTTATTCAACAAATATCTGTAACATTTGTATTAAGCAACTCCAATCATTATTTGCAGCACTGAAACTAGATCACACATTTCTCTTTAAAAAGAGAGAGAGAGAGAAATAATTTTCAGCATATGTTTTTCTGGGATGGTATACTTGTCTTTGTTAAGACTGTTTAACAAAGTACCACAGACTGGGTAATATATAAACAAGATTTATTTCTCACAATTCTGGAGGCTGGAAGTCCAAGGTCATGGTGCCAGTGTGCTTGGGTTCCAGTGACAGGCCTCTTCTGGGTTTCAGAGGGCTAACTTCCAGATGTAATCCCACATGATAGAAGGAGAGTGAGAGAACTCTTTGGTCTCTGCTCCTAAGAGCACTGATTCTATTCATAAGAGCTTCACCTTATTACCTTACCTCTCAAAGACCCCGCCTCCAAGTACCACCACTGTAGGGATTAGATTTCAATGTATGAATTCTGGAAGGACACAAACAGTCAATAGTTTATATGTTTCTTTCAGGTAACATATAAAAACTGAACACTATGCTTATCTTTAGGGATATAAGATAATTCTCAGAGGGATCCGAAACCCACCAAGTGTGGAGAATCTGAAATCTTTAAATGTATTCATGTTGTGGGTTCTTAGAACTCAAACCTAAAGCACAAGTAAGTGGTTTCAAGATGGACAATATTGCACTGATTACCAAACTCTAAATTAACATTCATATCCCACTTCTAAGATATCACACCTGCTTTTGCTTAGAAGTGAGTTTAATTCCTTTAATACTACAAATTGACAGATTATACCTTGCATAGTCATTGAATTTCTGTGTTTTGAAGCCAGTTTACTTGTGTTTCAATAACCTTGTCAGTGTTTCCATCTAATCACCAAACTCTAGTGGCAAATGCAAAACAGAGAAAAGCACTAGATGTATAATCTAGTTGGCATAATAAAATAGATGCATGTGAAAAGGTGAATTACAAGAAATTATTTGTAATTTTACTTAATGTTTTAAGACAGTACTAGAAGAAATGTCAATAACTGGTGTATGATTGATTATAAAAATTCAGATTCTGATCTGTCTGTTCTGAATTCTGTTCTCTCTGTTACATAGACATTTCCAGAAAGATCTGCAAAGCTTGCTCTACCACTAGCCTTCTCAGAATTTGTCTTTTTGTAAAATGTCTCTGAAAGACCCAGCTGTCTTTCAAATAGAGGATATTTAAGGCACTTGTAAGGTGTGGAGACTTCTTTGCAAATCCTGGAGGCTGGTCTGCCAAAGAGGCTGCAGAATGTTCTTCTCTAGGAGGGGCATCTCATGTTAGCTGGTGTTCTGCGATGTTAAAGAGACCCATCAAATCAATAATGAAAATGATTACAGTGATCATTGTCTTAGTTGGGTATTGCATTACTGACAAATACTGGTAACTGGGTGACTTATAAAGAAATAGGAGTATATTAACTCACAGTTCCAGCAGCTGGAAAGTTTGAAAGCCTAGTCTGAAAGATCAGAGCAGGCTACAACATAGCCAATGAAAGTAAAGAAGATAGCAGATCCATGCAGAGAGAAAACTGCGAACACCTCTCTCTTCTCTCTCTCTCTCTCGCTCTCATAACAACCAGTACTCATGAGAACTTACCCTTTCTCACAAGAGCAAGAGCTTACTGGGTGTTCCAAGACATCATTCATCTATCCCTGAGAGTGGTACCTCTATGATGTCACTGTCCATAAGGCATCACTACCTTCCAATTCTAAATTCCAAACCATAAAACTTTGGGAGACAAATTCTTGCCCAAACCATAAAAAATCAGATTTTCTAAAGCTAATTTTAAGATTAGGAGGGCTTCTGTTTGAGAATCTGCATGAGTATCTGTATGTTTTTTAAAGATAATCCATCTTGGTTTTGATCTTGCACTATAGTTATGTAAGATAGTACCAAGTCAGGAAAATTGGGTAAGGGATACACAGGACCACTCTGTACTATGCTTGAAACTTCTGATGAATCTATAATTGTTTCAAAATTTTAAACTGTAAAAAGTGAAAATGAAAAGATACCCTGAGTATTTCTGTAGGAAAGGCATACATCTGCCCAAGTTAAAAGGGAGAGAGGAGCTTCCCACAACTCCGAAACACACAGTACCTCTCTGAACACCCCCTTTATCCAAGAGCCAGGGTCCCTTAGGGGGCTGAAGGCACCCCAGAGTGAAACTTGGAGTTTGAAGTTACAGGCTGGATTGTGGCCCTGGCTCTCCTAATGACTGGCTCACATCATTTTGGTTATGTCACTTAGCCTCTGAATTTATTTCATTACCTGTAAAATAGTTTTATTTTTGTTTTTCTTTTTCAGAAAAGGCCACCTACAGATTCAATGAGATCATGACAATCCAAAGAGATGATATATGCAAAGTCCCAGGCAGTCTATAAAGCAACAGGTGAACTCTGGTCATTCAGTCACTTCTGTCAGGCATAGCCTAAGAGATTGCATGAGGTCAGCAGCCTTTTCCACATGGTTCTCAAGTCCCTCAGCTTGCCACAATAGCAGTATTTGAGATGGCCTATTGGCTGGTGCCTTGGTCTCTCAGTCCCATCACAAGTCCAAAGCCTTTGTTCAAAAGATGCAACTTTGTTGCTCTTATTTATACACAGCTGCTTCCAATTGCCCTCTGAAAACTCCAACAATGACTAGTCACACATGTCCCTGCATCATGGCAGATTCTTATCAGAAATTACTCAGGCACCCTCCTAGGCTGCTTTCCAGTACGAGTAGTTAGAGACTGCCCTGCCCTGGCATGTTCCACAGAGCTGGGAAGTGAAAATGAGCAAAGGGTCAAAAGAGTCAAAGAGTCAAAAGAAATTCAGGTGTCCTTTCCCCACTGGAAGGTGAAGACAAGAATGGCTGTACGGCATTCACTAGAGCTGAAACCGTCATGAATCCTAGAAGCAAATGCTGGCCTGCTTGATTCCTTTCTCTAAACTTTGACAACTCTTGAAAGCTGTCCCATTTGCTCATTCCCAGTGTATTGATTAAGTTTACTCAGGAAAACAGATGCCATGCTGTTTTTCATATATGATAAGTCTTAATTCAGAAGAGAGGATGCACTAAAGCATTTATTTCTGTAAAGCTATGGTTCTATGCATGTGGTGTGGGACCAGCAGCATCAACAGGACCTTGGAAATTGTTACAAATATAAATTTGGGAGCCCTATCCTAGACCTCATGTTCTGAGCATAGTGTCTAGCAACCTGCATGTTAACAAGCCCTTCAGGAGCTTCTGTTACAGCTCAAGTTTGAAAATCACTGCTCTAGAACAATCTAGAGACCTACTTTGGACTTTACATTTTCTTACAACTGCCTCCTCAGTCTCATATGCTTGTTTCTCCTTGGCAAACTCAAAGGACTATTCAGGAGAAGAGATTCTGCGAAATATATTTCTCAGTTTCTCTACTCCTAAGGAGATCTTGATGGCCACAGTCATGCCAAAGAGACAGAGCAGCAGACCTGGTAAATATACATGTACAGAAATGTCTGAGGTCGTTCTGGCCATTGTGAACACAGTCACCTTTCAGGCTACAGGAGAGCTTCTTTATTTATAAGAATCTTCCCCTGTGGCCTTACCATGACAAGAGTCTCAAAGTCCACTGTTAGAGATCTCTTTTCAGGGGCACTTTATCCTCTTGACTTGCTTTAGTGAAATATTTATAGTCTAAGGCTTTTAAGGGCTGGACGATATGTCTAAGAATCTTTTCTACACTTGGATAGTCACAACTCTTCTCCTTCACATGAGCACTTCACATCAAGAAGTCTTTGAGGCATAAAAGGGAATATCCAAGTAATATCAAGGGTACACAGAACTTGAGCTCAAATAATTAAAAGAAAATTCAAAGGAATGATGTAAGGATTGATCATAATGGATTGCTAACACTCCAATTTGTCTTTTGTTTTAAGGAAAAATCAAAGTACTAGGAAAATACTCCAGAATTTAACTGTCATTAACATCTTATGTATGCAATAGTATACTAGATCAATTTCCTAACTGACACAAAGGGTTTTTTTACTACACTAAGCAACTATAAGGAAGATGAAAAGGGAGGGTGAGGATGAAGGAGCAGCAGAGTGAGTTGGAAAGTGTCAAAACAACACATTCCTAACTATAGACCATCAAGAGACTGATAGTAGGTTTTATTGAAAAAGTGTGGCACATATACACTATGAAATATTACTCAGCCCCAAAAAGCAATGAGACCCTGGCATTTGATAGAAAGTGGTCAAATATGGAAGATATACTGTTAAGCAAACAAGCCAGACTATGAAAGAGAGGCAGTGTATGCCCCCACTTAATATATACCAAATGTCAGCACTCTATGGCAGAAATGGAAAGATTAGAAGATGTAAAAGCATGAGGAGCAGCTGTTGATGCTAGAGTCAGTGTGGAAGGAGGGTAGGAAATGGGGGAGGGCAAGAGGGAGGGAATCTAGGGGAAGGAAATACAACGAAGCAAAATATTTAAGGGACACAAAAAAGGAAAATTATCTGTTAAGATAATGTGCATGGTAATATCTTTGACTGAACCAATATACAGTATATTCATGATGAGAGAATTCATTTGATATGCTGTAATGATACACAGTGATTAAATGTAAAAAAATTAATTATAAATAAATAACTTCAAGGGCAAGCTCTGTAGGGTAGTGGTTAAGTCCTATGCATAGGGAACAGGGATCCCTCCATGGCCAACCATAGTTTTAGTCTCTACTTTGGTGGCTCAAAAAAAAACATACCAGGTGCATGTGTGTGCATGCCCCAAATCCTGATGGAATGGAAAATGGAAGAAAAGGATTGCAGTATGACCATACCCCATTAGCTGCTTGCAGGTTCTCTCTCTCTCTCTTTCTCTCCCTCTCTCTCTTCTCTTTCTCTCTCTGATGACAGTACATGCCCTCTGGCAATATAAAAATAAGTAAATCAATCAATAAATAACTTCAAGCAGTTGGGAACACTCATTTTGAGTCTGACACTGTGTAGGCATCAGAGACATAAAGAATAAAACATAGTCCTTCTCTTCAAAGAGTTACATTCTAGCAGAGAGACAGACACATGCAACAAAATTTTTAAGCAATGCAGTTAGTACTGCAGTCAAGGTACAGATAACCTATTATGTGATCAGAGGAGAGGAGTGCTGCTACCTAGTGGGTATGTTGGATGTCTCTCATTTGCCTCTCTAGATCTACCTCCAATCTCGACACCCTGCAGGTAGGCTGCTGTGAAAGCCAGTCTCCCATACACCACCCTATGATTTCTGACCCTGCTCTTCATGTTCTTGCATAGTCTCCCCCACATTGCAAGAGGCTTGCTCTGTGTCAGAGGTAGTAGTAATTTTTGTATTTTTTTACTTTTACTTTTTTTTTTTTTGCTATAGGGTGTATGCACTGGCTGAAGACAGAAAGGGGGATAGAAAGCATCCCCCAAGGGTATGTCCACATCACAATCCCTCCACTCTCCTCTTAGAATTTTGGGCATTCACACCTGGCATGTCTCTCAAGTGGCTGAGTCTTGCACTCGAAGCATGCAGTTGGCTATGTGGAATCCAATTGCCTTAAGCACCACACCACCTGGCTGGCCCAATGGTATGTGACTTCCAAGCCGAGATTAAAAAACACATTGCAGCTTCTCTGTTATTCTCCCTTGATCACCTGCTCCAGGGTAAGTTAAGCTGCCATGGTGGGAGGACACTAAAGTAACTTCATAGAGAAAGCCACTCCATGAGGAAGCAAGGTCTCTAACCAAAAGTCATATGAGCAAATGACCAAGGAAGCAATTTCTCCAGGCTTCAGAGATTACAGTTTCAACTGTCTCCTTTCTCTCTCCCTCTCTCTCTCTCTCTCTCTCTCTAGCCAGAGGCCATGTGTGCTCTCCAGAGTGGGAGACTGAGAGAGATCCATGTGGCATCTGGTTACCTCCACCAGGCCATGGAGCCAATCCCTCAATTGATTTCTGTTTTTTGTTTTGTTTTGTTTTAGAGAGATTTCTGCTATAGGGTGTTTGTGCTTGCTGGACAGACAGAGAAAGACAGAGAGACTGAAAGAGAGAAATCCCCCACCACCCACCCCAGTGTGAGTTTCAAGCCTCCAGGTCCAGGACTCGAACTGCTGTCAGCCATGTGGGAGCCCAGTTCCTTAACCACCACACAATCTGCTGGCTCCTCAGCTGACTTCTTAAATGTAACCTGATGAGAGACCCTGAGCTGGAATCCTGCTATCCTGTGAGGCAATGTTCACTATTTTCAGCTACTAAGTTTGGGAATAATTTGTTACAAAACCATAGATGACTAATTGGCTGTACTTGCCCATTGCCCAACTCTGACTTTTAGCTGAGTTCAATTAATGAAGGGTATGAAGGGAGTGAAGGTAGAAGAGCTATGAGTAGAGTGAGGCTGGCCATTCACTCCCCCGGCTTGCTCCCTATTGAGTCCCTGTATGTTAGCCATGAAAAGTCTCCCTGTTTTGTGGTCTCTCTACCACCCAAATAGCTACTGGTACCACACTATTCCTCTGCCTTTTTAGGACCAGATGTTATAAGTACCAAGATTCTGCAATCTATCCCTCATAATTTACACATACCCTACCCATACCTTTGCAAGTAGCCCCTTTACAAACCCCTTCAATTACTCAATGGGAGCATGCAACCATTTCTTGCTGAAACCACAACTGATACAAATAAT